TTTACGATCAATTTGTCATTTCCTCTTGGAAAGAAAAGAATTAGATTTTTTTTTTTGTTTCCCAAAAAAAATGAAGTGAAGAAATGAGAAAAGATCGGAAATGAAAATAGGAAGAAAGCAAAAAAAAAAAACAATAAATCTTATCCTTCAATATCTTTAAAATACCACATAAAACTTATTTCATATATGTAATGTTTCAAAGAAAGAAATGTAATGAATTCAAATTTTGATTTTAATTCATTTGTAACGAATAAAAAAAATAGATTTTGAGAAAGTACAACAAGATTTAAACTAGTTAGAAGTGTCATTGTATGACTATTATCATCGATAAATTGCATACAACAATCAATTGATTCAAATTTTGCTTGAATTGTTATCACTTATTTACTTTTATGAATACTAAGCTACAATAATATATTTCTCTTTTTTTTTGAATTTCCAATTAAAATCTTAAAATATGCAATATTGAGTTTATGCGAAAATTTCGGATATTTTTTAAAAATTTCAAAATTCTACCCTGGAAATATGTAGTTTTAAAAAAATTGACGAGAAGAATGGATAGTTTGCATTAATGTTGGAATGTTTTCCAGCAAATTGCTCGCTTTACATAATTTTCGTTTCAATGAGCCGCAGCGGCATTAGCAATTTTGTCTGTTGCGGAACGATGCTTTTTATCCGTTCGCATGCTAACTAACCATTGTTGACCTTTCCTCTTGTCTATTCCTTCCTACGTGATATTTCGACCAAAATCGAAACAATCTCAACTGTTTACTTTCATTCACAGAGATCAATTAAGAAATGCAATGAAAAAAAAAAGTTAATTGAAATTTAATTGAAACAAAATTGGTCTAATCATTAAATGAAATAAAATTACAATAGCTCAATAGACGGGGATATAATTTTATACTCAAATAGTTTATTTGAAATGAAATAACTATCAAAAAAAAATGATAATGGTATACAGGATGCTAATTATTTTAAGCTATCTGATATGATCAGTTAAATCATTAAGTGTTGGAAGTGCGTCAATGAAAGTACGCATTTTGATGGATTCTCTCATTAAACTGTCAAGAAATCTTTTTTTCTCCACATATTTTATTTCCGTTGATTTATTTGATAGCAATTCACGTCCTCCTTCTTTTACCTACCCAATAATACTCTTTTTTCATATCATGATTGAAAAATATATCAGCAATAAATCGATAACGAGAAAACACACCTATTTTTAACATAGATCATTATTTAAAGTGCACACATACCACACACACACACACACACACACACACACACACA